AGCATGGACTTATGGATTTTTATATTAATAAAAAATGTGGGCCCGATAATATTACCATATGCTTAGTATTTCCATGCCAACAATGCTCGTAACTACTCGATTTAAAAACAGCTATTTGAAACAAAGACTCATGGAATCACAAAGAAAACTGTTAAGTACGTATTTCACACCTTTCCTACGACCGCGGTTGCTACCGGTACCGGTGGCCACCGCGGTAGAGACCCCTAATTATAAGCAGTCCGCGGCTCTCCCTGGTGTACCGCGTAGAGCCGTGGTGATTACCGCGGTGAACCTCCCGTTTGATTTCCTACTCTCCCCTTACTACATTAAAGTATTCCTAGGAATTTTTGTTAGTAGGTATGACTTGCAACATCAAATATAGAGCATTCTTACAAGGAGAAACCATGTCCCTTGATGTACAGTGAACATACATGTATATAGCAGTTATTAGTGCCCGTTCGGACGAAGCTCGAAAACGAGGACTACAAAAAAATGTATTAATTTGGATTTGTTCCGTCCGTCCGTACGTACGTCCGGAGCTATATCTTGGACATAGACGGATTTTTCTCAAACTATCAATGAAGACAATACATAATGTCTTACATATGCACGTCAAGTTACTTTATGATAGAAGCAAAAATGGCTGACTGGCGGCCATTTTGGATGTAAATTTCTGATACCTAAATGTGTCCGCAGCAGTTTCTCAGAGATGACTAGACCAATTTAGATCAAAGTTGATATGTTGATCATACATATTTGGTTATATGTGCACGTCATATTTTTTTCGTGATTCAAAGAAATATGGCTGCCTGGCGGCCATTTTGTTTTTCATGGTACCCATGCTACTTTCTCTTGACATTTCTGTTTAAATTTTGTACAAAGACAGTATACCAATAGATACATCAACATGAGCATTATTTTTGTAATTTGATTCAATATGACTGCCCAATGTCCAATTCTCATGTTTCTTTTTAAATTTTGTACAAAGATAGTATACCAAGGGATGCATGCGCACAAACATTATTTTTTTGATTTGATTCAATGTGGCCGGCCAATGCCCAATTTTTATGTAAAAGCACTATAAATCGTCATTTTTACATGTCTGGAGCTGTTTCTCAGAGATGATTAGGCCAATTTGGATCAAAGTTGGTATGATGATCATACATATTGGGTTATAGTTACATGTCATATTTTTTCTGTGATTCAAGCTAATATGGCTGACTGGTGGCCATTTTGTTTTTTATGATACCCATGCCTACTTTCCCATGAATGCAATGAACATTTCTGTTTAAATTTTGTACAAAGACAGTATACCAATAGATACATCAACATGAACATTATTTTTGTAATTTGATTCAATATGGCTGCCCAATGTCCAATTCTCGTGTAAAAGCACTAAATCATAATTTTTTACCAATCCATCTCCTATTAATGGTTTCAATCTAATCTCAATGACTTCATCAGCATCAAATTGATATGTCAGATCACTCAATTTTGGAAGGGGACTGTGTCATTAACAATGACTTGTTGAACTTTTCTTCACATCTTATCTTTTTAAGTTTCTTGGTCACAATATGTATATACGGGGGGGGGGGGGGGTAATTTCTGTACAAGAACAGTTGAAAATATTAAAGTCAAAACAAACAATAATATTAATAGAAATATTACCAGAGTATAGCTGTGATACTAAATAGTGTACAGACTTTTGCCAAGCATATGTACATTAGTTTGTTCTTAGATAATGACTATTAACCAACTGATGGCTATTTTGAATGGAAGTATTTCAACATGTCATCAACCACTTCTCAAGCACTCCTTGGTTTAGAACATCAGACATTTTTGTTCATGATGTAATTCAATTCAAATGGTATCGTTTTTTTGTATGTGTTCATTCTCTGACATACTTTTACCATTTCATAATTGATTGCCTGTTTTCAGAAATATTTAATGTGGCATCCCAATTCCCCTGTTGTATCTTTGAATTTAATTTGCCAAATACAAACATTCACATTGACAATGACTTGACAATGTGTTCTTTAATTTCAGTCGAAGTGCTGAAATATTAGGGAGTAAAATTGATTACTGGATGAATAGAAGTTTAAAGGATTTAAATGGTTCTATGACAGTTGCTCAGTTATCAACAAGTAAAAAGAGTGCCCTAACAGGATTGATATCATTTCGAGGTAAATATCTTCAATGGTTGTATTTTCTGAGTAGCCAGTTGTACAAGAATAAATCTGTCACCGTAATGCCATAAGTTACAGCGTGCCGTAATTTTGCAGTATTGCACTGAGTATTTTCATCCAACCATATTAGGAAATGCAAATTCCAAATATGGAACGATTATGCGCGTAAGCGTCCTCTAATAATAAAATACAAACATAGCACCCCCCAGGGTTTTACTGGACCTACACAAAGAAGTTTGCTCAATCTGTTCTAAACATTTTGCATTTCAGCATTGGGAGGAAAAAGATGTATAATAATAAGATTATTACGAAGATAACGAAAAGTATGCACTCAGTCTACGCCGTCACATCGATACTGCATGCTGGTTGATCCTCTCGCTGTACTGTCTTTGTGCATACTTTGCAGTATCCTCGTAATAACCTCATATTATTTATTATGTATGTACTTGTATGCGTAGACTATAATGTTGTACATTCACAAAACTACTCATAGACACTTTACATTATTAGCCTTGATTCCTGACATATGGATTAATTTGTAAAGCAGATCAGAAAACTACAGATCTAAACTCTTGTATTGGAATCAGTACCCTACCTTACCATTGTCATTTACTCCTTGCTAGAGAACAGTATAGAAAAAGTAAAGTCTCTTGCCCCAAGGACATAATATCATGGAACTGTTAAGGTTCAACACATCAACCCTATGATTATGAGTTTCAGATCAATAATTCCCCACAAAAATGTGTTTTCCACATTGAAATAAAACAACAATAACTACTACTAGGGAGATTTGGTTAAAGTTCTGTGAGTTCCTGACTACCTTTTGTATGTATTATATAGATGATATACCGGTATGATGATTTCGCTATTTTCACTGATAAGTAGAATCCGCTAAATTAATTTTACATGAACATGTAAAATAACAATAAAACAATTGTTTTCTTGACAATTTCGTGAAATTAAAACACTGAATATGCTCAAAACAACAAAATAGTGAAAATATATGGTTTTACAGTATTTGCAGATGAAATCATGTTATGTTGAATCAGCTGCTGCTTAAAATTGTTTTTGAAGCAGGTCTGGAATTTGATGAATCTTTTGTCTCAAATCATGTTTTTTGTAGGGCTAGATGACAAAAGCACACAGAACATTACTGGTAATCAAGCTAATGATGTGGATGTGGATGTAATGAATGTAGATGCAAATAATGAAATACCAAGTGGTAAGTCATCTGATACAGATAGCAATACCCACAGCTATCTCTGGCATCACTGATCTCACTCTCTATATTAAAAACATTTGCGCGTTGACAGTTGATGGGTACTGTCTGTGAGGCAAATTTCTGAACATACATTTATCTCAAGAATCAGTAATCAGATGAAACTAAGCAGTCATATAGTATGGGACAATTGCAAGATCTGAATAGATTCTGGTACAAATTCATAAACAATTATTAGGAAAATTTGCATATTCTCTTTTCATGGATATTTAAAAGAACCAGTGCTCAGATTCATATGAAATTTAACTGTCATGTACAATGGAACAATTGCAAGACTTTTTTAAGTGTTAATGCATAATTAATAAGCTTAATTTTTGTTGGCAACTAAATACACAATACCTTTGATGTAATTTTAAAAAAGTATGAAGAATAATACCCTATTATTATTAGTCACCTCTGGAACTCATAGTTTAGCTTGTTTTCTTGTAAATGTGAATCGACTAGAAGTCTGTCATTCATGGTAGGTGTACATGAGCTGGTGGTTCACAACAATAGAAACACCATCTAAAAAATTAGGCAGGCGACCCCCAACTTTGAATAAATTCTTGGTATTGGCATTTTTAAGTAGGCTTCTACCTTAAAATTCAATCTGTGTGTAGATGAGTTTATAACAAATATACTTTATGCCATAGATGCTAAATTTAACGATGATGATGATGATGCAGGAGCTGAATTTTTTGATGCACCCCCGTCACCAGATTCACCACCTCAGGTAAGTGATGCATAGCATGGTACTACTAGTAATATGACTAATATTCACTGGGTTTAAATTTTGCTGATTTAGCAATTCAGGCATATTCAGTGGGTTTTAAATTCACAGTTTTATCATTTAGATAATGTCTTCTATGCTAAATTTTACATATTCAAATAAGCTAAATTAAAACCCAGTGAATAATTAATCCTTTTACAGTAATTGATTTCTCAGATAGACAGGCTGGCCGATTCAAAGACAATCATTCAACATTTATCCTTAGTATGAAGTTTCCTTGATTTAGTTTTACTTTATCTGAGTTGTTGGATACTGTAATGTTGCTTAGATATGCATTCTGCTTAAGTTGAAAATAACCCAATCATATTTATTCATTTTGTGATACAATTTTGTGTTTCTTATTTTGACTACTTCTAAACTGCATTTACTTTCTCAAACATGAGAGTTAAATCAGGCTGCTTGAGATTTATTTCCTCACTCTACTGTGCGGAGTGCGGATTGTCTTACTATATTCCTGTAGCGAGCTCCATTGAAAAAATTAAGAGGAATTTACAATAGACTATTACTAATGAGACCTTCCTTGTATTAAAATGGGGATCCCTCTCTAATATTTGGGAGACGGGAAGCAGAATCTGGGGTTAACACAATTGCCGTGGCTGTGTTTCAATGACAATACCTTCTTTTTTTTAGAACCAAGAAGTAGTCACGGAAGAAACCAAGAGGTATGGTCTGAGACAAAGGAGGGTTGCTGATGCATTATTTCCCCTAAAACCAACACATGATCCTTGGCAAAAACTAGATGCTCACGCTGCTGATGCTGCGGTTGTCAAAACGTTCAAGAAATGTAAGAGTGCACAGAAAACAATATTATGCAAATTTCTTGAAATTATACATGGAGCAAGTTTATTTCTTGCTCTGCCTGGCTGTTTTGTTATTGATTGTGAAATCCCAGCTATCAAACCTTACCTAGACTGGATATAAATAAATTTTAATTTTGTGTATGTCTTCCTAGTTTGGACCCATCATCAAACTCATTCTTTACACCATGACTCAAACTGTCATCTGTACAATGTATGTCTATCTTGAACAAGACAATGTTTTTATGTCCATTTTGCATAGTGTCCACATTTCGGATTCCTAACAAGCCTGCTGTCAAGAAGAGGAAGAAAACGCCACTGAAACCCAAATATGCTACTATTGATGAATTCCTGCAAAAAAAGTGTAAGTCCTGTTTCTTTCTTAATACATCCTATTGTCTTGGGCCTGGATGTGGTAGGCAGTGGCTTTGTGATTTAATCAAATTATTAGAATTATTATAAGTGTGTTTGAAACCATTTCTCAAATGTGAACAGGTTGTTGATTTCACTCTGTTGTATAAAATGACTCTAATCATTGCTGTATATACTGTCAATACACTTTCTAGCTCCGCTGTCAACTTTGTCAATCTAGCTTATCATATGAGTGATTGTTTGTCGTCGTTCGCTTCAACTTTTTATTTTTTCTTCGTGTGTCATTTTGTCTGACTCTATATCACATTTGTTAAATTGACGGCCATTTTGTATAAATCCTACAATCATATATTATGTAAGTGTGCCCAAAACCATTTCTTAGAACAGCGCGATTTCATTCAAATTTTGTATGAGAATCATGTGTATTTTTGAAAACAAAAATAGTGGATTGGCGGCCATTTTGTTTTTATTCATTTCTATTCCAAACGACAATGATTATATATATTTTGTATTTGATTTATAGTATTCATGCTAGTTTCTCTATCAAGACGTCCTTTTCGTTTCGAAGATGACGTCGTTTTACTCAAAAGTGCCTGTTTCACTCCAAAATAACATTGTTTGGTAATTTGTTTTGACCAAACTCTTCCTTGGTAAACAAATATTTTTCATACTTAAGTTCAGAATGATGCACTGAGCACAGATCAACTACTGTAAAAACAACATAGGAATTGTGCATTGTCAATGCTTGTATCATGTCACAAGTTGATTATAATTGTGGTTGTTGAATTCAGGTTTTTCAAATTCTGAGAAGTTTCCCAGCAATCCACTAAAAGTTCCAACTTTCCAGGAATTTGAAGTAGCTTTTTGGGATGAATTCAAGAGAAGACAAGCAGCTGTCAGCTTAAAAAGAAAAAAATGGTAAAATTAAGCATTTTCACACTCATTGCATTCTGTTGATGTTACATGTGGAGTGTTATCAGCTACCAACAGCATGTTATCCAATCAATAAGACATCACTAGCAACTATTGAAGATTTACAGTCCCTACAACAGAACTTTTATCAATAATGTAATCATAATGTAATCACCAATTTATAAACATTGCTCTAATCAGTTGTAATATTTAATATATAATATATATATTAATAATGTTTTTATTACCTACTATCTCACTGAATGAGTGTGATCAAATTACATATGGTTATCAACATACTGCTTGTAATGACAGTTATCATTCATCGAATATTTCACATTAATAATGAATGAATTCACTCTGTTGTACAAAATGACTCTAATCATTGCTGTATATACTGTCAATACACTTTTTAGCTCCGCTGTCAACTTTGTCGAGCGAGCTTATCATATGAGTGATTGTTCGCCGTCGTTCACATCAACTTTTTAGCTCCGCTGTCGACTTTGTCGAGCGGAGCTTATCATATAAGTGATTGTCCGTCGTCGTCCGTGTCAATGTTTTACTTTTTTTACTTATTCTTATAAAACTACAAGCCTGAATGCTTTGATACTTGGGTAGACCTCTCTTAGGTTTATTCATTTCATGATGATATCTTCAATTCTCTAATTTTGGTGAATATTTTTGTCATTTTTGGTAAAAAGTGATATTTTCGACATCTTGTTAAAAACCTCAAGTCCAATTGCTTTGATATTACATATATAGGTACTACATGTGGACCTCTCTCAGATTTGTTCATTTTGTAATGATATCTTCAATTCTCTAATTTTGGTGAATATTTTTGTCATTTTTGGTAAAAAGTGATATTTTCGACTTCTTGTTAAAAACCTCAAGTCCAATTGCTTTGATATTACATATATAGGTACTACATGTGGACCTCTCTCAGATTTGTTCATTTTGTGATGATATCTTTAATTATCTAATTTTAGTGAATATTTTTGTAATTTTTGGTAAAAAGTGATATTTTCGACTTCTTGTTGAAAACCGCAAGTCCGATTGCTTTTACATTATATATATAGGTACTTCATGTAGACCTCTTTCAGATTTGTTAATTTCGTGGTGATATCTTCAATTCTTTAATTTTGATGATTATTTTTGTCATTTTGGGTAAAAAGTGACATTTTCACCTTCTTGTTGAAAACCACAAGTTCGATTGCTTTTACATTATATATATAGGTACTACATGTGGACCTCTTTCAGATTTGTTAATTTCGTGGTGATATCTTCAATTCTTTAATTTTGATGATTATTTTTGTCATTTTGGGTAAAAAGTGACATTTTCACCTTCTTGTTGAAAACCACAAGTTCGATTGCTTTTACATTATATATATAGGTACTACATGTGGACCTCTTTCAGATTTGTTAATTTCGTGGTGATACCTTCAATTCTTTAATTTTGATGATTATTTTTGTCATTTTTGGTAAAAAGTGACATTTTCACCTTCTTGTTGAAAACCACAAGTTCGATTACTTTCATATTATATATACAGGTACTACACAATTTTGATGAATATTTCTGGTAAAAAGTGATATTTTTGATTTCTTGTTAAAAACCGCTAGTCTGATTGCTTTGATATTATACATAACATAACGGTACTAAAGGTAAACCTCTCGCAAATTTGTTCATTCTGTGATGAAATCTTCAATTCTCTAATTGAAATGTGCTTTGCTATCAGCTGAGCTATCGCAGCTGAGAGGCTACTTGTCCTATAAATCACGCCCTCTAGTGGGTATACATGTAGGCAATGTTGTTTTCAATCGACAACTGTATTTGGCTATGAAGTCATTCATTTGCTAGAATCTAGTAAATTCTTCATTGATGGATGGCTGAAAACCAAAACTATATCAACATTTGTGTTACCCATTCAAATCAAAGACGTATTTTCTCACTTCATGTACATGGCGCTATTTATGTATTGAATTCTTTGATACCCTTGTTATAGCTTGAAGAGATGAGGTTCAAAGAATTGCAAGATTTAGAAGAAGAACAACAAGAGGAAGAAGAAAATGCAGAGGTGGCTGAGTTTGCAGCTGCTAATGATGATGATGACATGGATGACATCGGTGAAGGAATTCAGTTTGATGATCAGGTCATAGGAGCAGATACAGTGCAGCCTATGGGTGAGCCAAATATATATTCGCTGTTCTTTTGTTATTATTCAGGGTCAATAGAATATCTAGCTGCATCAATGTTTTTCATTTTCATCTTAACTTCTGTAAGCAGCCATTCATCAAATCTTTATGAATATGATAGACCCCTCAATTGTATAATCCATTCCTTGGTTATAAGTTACAACACATCTATCATTCATAGCATATTGCATTTGTTATGCGTGTGTGTTATTTTTGTGATGTTTAAGTCTGCAAGAGAAAAGCCCTGTGCCTTCTCAAACACCACATTGTGTAGCTTTGAGTTTGAATGAAAGGGTTATGACAAAAAACATAAGGATTTTTAATATGGTTGCCATTCACTAAAATATATAATAATAACTTTCTTAAATATTCTGGATATCATAATAGGTGATTTTTCATTTACTGCAAAATCTTGTATGTTGTGTAAAAAGGTGGAGAATATCGCGTTGAGATACTTTATCAAAATCATCAAATTTGTATACTACATTATTATAGATTAAATTCTCATGAAATATTTTCACGTTTGTTGAATTGTATGCGATGTTTGACTTCAATATAATACTACCGGTAAGACTAATTTTTTGTCCTGTTTTGGCACTTTATTTTATGCAAAACACAGAATTTTGCAGTGAACTGAAATTGGTTTGTTGTTCTATTAGTACCTCATGCTCTTGCTTAAATTAGAGAGATTTTTCTATGTAATATTATAATGTATGTTCAGTAAATATGTGGTATTTTATATGCACTTCATATAGAGCAAATATAGTGTTTTCATCTGTGAGTTAATATACCGTAACTCAAGTGTATGTGATGTTATTTTCTTTTGCTAGCATTAGAAGATGTTACATTACACCATAGTAGCATAATTCAAACCTATGAAGATCTAGTGAGAAGACATGTTGTAAGTAAAATGGTTTTCCCGGTTATACACTGCATGGAAATACTTAATAAACTCATTCACTCTATCCATACATGTCATATTTCTGTGCAATATCTTGAGATATACCATGCCAGATGATGGTTTATTGCTTAATTCTATAATACACACTGTTGTAGTAAAATGACAAGTTGGAGGTAAAAAAAGAAGGAGCACTGACGCCTAGTGTTTCCTTTGTGTACTATGACAGTTGGCGATTGTTTGCCAAGCCAACAATGCGCTGTCCGTTTTCCTGTTATCTGCATAATCCCTTAATGGGGATGGCGTGGTTCGGAGTCTTCCGACAAACTTTTTCACCAGTCATTTTGTATATGTGGTGTTGAAGAGACAGAACGCATGATTGCATGTGATGACAACGACTGCACAGTGACATGGTTTCATTGCCAGTGTGCAGGGTTGACAGCAAAAACTAGCCGATGTGCAGCGTCCTACCATCGCACCAATTGTCGCGATTTTCGACAACCGCTCGCAATCGCTCGCCAGTTAAATATTTTTGCAGAATTCTGTGGATCATATAAATAAAGTGTTTCAGAGAGCATAAAATATAGTCAATTTTCAACTACAAACAGGATTAAATGTCCAAGTGTCTAGTTTCCGGTGTGTAGTGTGAATGGTGACCTCTTGTTTGACTCCCGTGTGCGAAGCACAAAAGGGAGTCTTTGCAGTTACCCTGTCTGTATGTATGTATGCATGTATGTATGTCACTTTTTTTGTTCCATCGTTATCTCAAGAACCACTAATCAAATTTTGGTGAAACTTGGTACATAGATGCTCTGGGATAATGTGCAGAGTTGATTAGGTTTTGGTAAAAATCTATGAATATTAATTACCTAATTTGCATGATAATTAACTGATTTTAAGCTGTTCCATGACTGTTCCACTGATATTTGAAGAACCACTCATTGGATTTCAATGAAACTTGGCACATGGATGCTCTGAACTAATGCGCAGATTTGATTAGTTTTGGGTAAAAATCTGTTAATATTATTAATTACCTAATTTACATAATGATTAATCAATTTTCGGCTTTTCCACTGATATCTCAAGTACTAATCATAACATTTCAATAAAACTTGGTACATAGATGTCATATGACACTGCACAGACCTGGTAGTGTTTAGGGTAATATCAGTACATATTAATTACCTAATTTGCATAATTAATTAATTTTCAGCTTTTGATATTTCGAGTAGTAATGATCACATTTCAATGAAATTTGGTACATAGTTACTTGAGGACTGTGCAGAGACCTAATTAGTTTTTGGGTAAATATTGTGCATATTAATCACCTTATTAGCATAATTAGTTAATTTTCAGCTTTTCACCTGATATCTCAAGTACTAATCATCACATTTCAATGAGACTCGCGACATTTTCTAGGAATATGCAGAGACCTGATTAATTTTGGGATAAATAATTGTGCCCATTAATTACCTAATTTGCATAATTAGTTAATTTTTTGCTGTTCTATGGCTGTTGCACTGATGTCTACAAACCACTCATTGGATTTCAATGAAACTTTTAAAGAGTACCCATCACATTTCAATGAACCTAGGACTATACACCATATTAGTTTTTGGTAATTATGTATGCTTCTTAATCACTTAATTAACATAATTAATTAATACTGATATCTCAAGTATTGATCATCACATTTGAATAAAACTTGGTACATAAATGCTCTAGGACAATAGACAGCCTGATTAATTGTGGGTTAAAATCTGTTCATATTAACTCTCTAATTAGCATAATAATTAATATTTTTTGGGTTCTAATCACATTTCAATGAAACTTGGTACATTGTGCAGACCTTATTAGTTTTACACTTAAATCTGTTCATATCAGTTACCTGATTTACATAATTAGTTTTCAGCTATTCCATCAATATCTCAAGTACAAGTAATTTTGAATTAATTTTTAATGTGTCTTCAATACTCTCAGCACACCGGAGTTCTTTCTAAGCTTTCTTTGATTTTCAACAAAGGTCACTGCGCACAAGTGACGACCTCATTTATGGTCTGCGCAACTGATTTAATATTTCATCGGGAAATTGTTTCTGTGTAATCTGAATATTACCGTCAGTACACTAGTTTAAACAATCGCCAACTATCATCGATTCAAAGACCAAGAGAACAAAGGGATAAGGAGCTTAACTTGGCAATAAACAATTGAATTTACTAGGCTTATTTTCCGTCAGTGCTCCTTCTTTTTTTACCTCCATGGTTCATCCTATATGGTGTGTTTATTTATATATAATCCCCGGTATTTTGAATGACTTTTTAACAAACCAGTTTGCGTTCACGCACAGCTCCTTAGCATGGGCTAAGAGGTCAAATTCCTTAGCCCGTACTAAGAAAACGTGCGTGAATGCTTAGCACGGGCTAAGGATCAAATGCTAAGTACAGGTTAAATCTGATCCGAATTTAAGACGCGGTCTAGACCCTTAGCACGGGCTAACGAAGTATGCACGACGCTTAGCCCAGGGCGTACAGCAGCTCCAATTGTAGACAAAATAAATTTTGTTCGCTGTCTACGACATGCATTAATAAAACTCTGTATTCTTTTACGACCGTTGTATACTGTTTCTGTGCATCCAAATAAGTTAGGTCCATCTTCTCTCGCGTTCCTGTGCACGTCGCTTCAAAATTAGAACGAAACATGCCAGCAGCAGAAATAGAACCTCGCGCGTGTCATCCATTTTTCGTTCGTAAATAGCGGCTTACCAAAGGTCACCGACTAATGGCATGACTTAGCCTGTGCTAACGACTGGCCCTCCCTGTGCGTGGACGCAATTGGGTCTAGCCGAAATGCAAATATGCTAGATAAGCCTAAATCAGCTTAAATCTTAGCCCGTACTTCGTGTAACGTGGACACAACTATAGTGACTGTATTCCTCTGAGCTATATAGTGATTCACTAGTCCAAGATGACGTCACAGAAATGAGGAATACTGGGACTTTTATTTTAATTATATGCATAGACACAGTAAATTTAGCATTGACCAGTAATATAAATTCTTAATTTTTTGTGTGAATATTTGGTGTGACTATTTTCAAGAATTTAGATGCTAAAAGTCCAAGTGCAAATAATCATTGTATTTGAACACTGAGTCACATTTTGCTGTTGCTTAGAATTTATTCAGTTGCATCAGCTTCCCCCTTGTTAACTGGGTTCATATATTTAC